CCTGAGTCATGAGGACTTTTCCCTTTTTCTTCTAAATTTTACAATTTTGTGCTTCACATTTAGACTTGTAACTCATTTTGTTAGCTTTTGTAAAGCTGTGAAATAGATGGAAGTTTATTTTCTTTGCATATGAAGGTAAAATTGTTTCAATCATTTGTTGCCAAGACTATCCATTCTCCATTGGATTGTCTTTGCACCTCTGCCAAAAAATCATAGGACCAGCAGTTAGCATAATGGCTATGTCGCTGGACTCCCATGTAGTCGACCACGGTTCGAGTCCCAGACCCGGTGGGTTAAACTCAGGCCAGGCGTGTGTGCGTACGTGCCTATGATCCTGAGAGGAGAGTGGAGGAGAAGGGATTGCGGCATGGCCATCCCCCTTGGCGGGGGGTGGGGGGTGATTTCTCACTTTCTCTCTCTCTGTCTCTCTCTGTCTCTCTGGTGAGTGCACGTGCCCTATAGCAAAAACCTCTCCAAAAAAAAAAAAAAAATGCTATCTGTGTGAGTCTATTTTTAGATTTTGGCCTGTGTGTCTGTCCTTTCTCCAAGACCACACTGCCTTGATTATTCTCTTTATTGCATGTTTTGAAATGGAGTTGCATGATTCCTTCAACTTTATTTTTTCAAAATTGTTTTGACTAGTTTAGTTTCTTTACCTTTCTACAGAAAGATTCTGCTGATGTTTGAAATGAAATTTCCTGAGGCTTCCAATCCATAAACAGGATGTCTCCCCATTTAGCACCTCTGATTTCAGACATCAGCATTTTGTGTAGTTTTTAGCTTACAGATCATTTACATCTTTGGTTAGATTTAGTCCTAAGCATTCATTTTGGGGGCTAGCTATTGTAAATGTAATTGTTTTTAAAATTATTTCCAGGTACATATTGCTAGTGTCTACAGATGTTTGATTTTTATTGACCTATAAACTGTGATCATGTTAAATTCGATTATTAGTTCTGTAAGTTTTATTGTTATTGATTTCTTGGGTTGTCTTTGTTTTTTTGTCCCTTTAGACTAGACTATTAATATAGTGGATTATATTAGTTTATTTTAAAATTTTGAAACAGCTTTTATCTGCTCCCCTACCCCAAACTTGGTCGTGGTGTATTACTGAGTTTATATATCTATTTTAACTTTGGAAAATTGTTCAGGTTTTGTGTTATTTTCATCTTGGCTTGATATATTAATTCTGGCTTTATAAAATAAATTGGGGAGCCAGTCAGTGATGTGGTGGTTAGGGTGGCTGCATCCCACATGGCCAACTAGGGCTTCAAGTCCTGGACCCAGTGACTTGGAAAGCACACTGGGCATTTATGTGTGTATGTCCAAAATCCCAAAAGGAGGGAGAAATGGAGAAGGGATCCTGGTGAGACCATTCTGCATGGGTGGTCATTTTCACTTTCTACCCCCTTTCTTCCACAAGTACATGCACCCCTCTGGCAAGTAGACAGATGAGAAGAAAAACAAAACAAGAAAAATACATTGGGAAGTGATTCTTCTACTTTCTGGAAGAGATTTGTAGGATTTGTGTTAATGCAATCTTTATCTAAGTTTTATGAATTTGCTAGTAAGGTCTTAAACATAGGATTTGAATTTTTAAAATAACTAGAAGCACTACCCCTGTAGTGCAGTAGTGGCGTGCCATGCAGAGGAAGTCAGGTTCCCCATGGCCAGCTGGGGTTCTAGTCCTGACCCTGGCAGGTTTAAAAATACACCAGGTACATATGCATGTGTCCTGAATCCCAATAGGATTGAGAATTGGAGGAAAAAGGCCTGTGGTGTGATTAGGTCCCATTGATGGATTTTCTGTGTGCAAACACATACGCCCTACGGCATTAACAAAAATTCGGTTCATTTAAATTGTTAGTTTCTATTTGTTTCATCTACCTTTGAATAGAGTTGCTCATGGTATTTTCTTAGTGACCTTTTTAATTTCTCTGGAGTCTGTAATGGTATTTTTTTCATTCCTAAGACTGGAAGGTTTCTTTTTGTTGCTGATTTTTCAGTTTCACTGTTTTCCCTTTCTTCCTTCTGCTTGCTTAAGATTTGCCCTTTTTCCTAGTTTAAGTATTGAAATGAAACATTTTTTTTATAACAGCAGTTCATGTTATAAATTATTCTCTAAGCACTGGTTTAGCTGCATTTCACACATTGTGTTATTTTTGTTTAACATTGCCAAAAGTGTGTGCTTACCAGAGAAAGCACTCTCCAGTGGGGCATGATCGTGCTGCAAACCCTTCTCCATTTCTCCATCCTGTTGGATTTGAAGCACGTTCAAGCCACTGGGGCCAGGATTTGGACTACAGTTGGCCATGTGGGATCTGGCTTTCTTAACCATTAGGTTACAAGGCCAGCACATATTTTCATTTTGCTTAAGGTATTTTCTATTTTCTTTCGAAACTTACCCTTAGAGCCATCAATTAGAAGTCTTGTTTAATTTTCTTATTTGGAAATTTTCCCATTATCTATTATTGGTTACTAGTTTGTGATTAGAGAATTTAGCCTGTTTGACTTCAGCTCTTCAAATTCAAGGTTTAAGACCCAGGGTATGGTCTATTTTGGTGAATGTTCTACCTGCTCTTGAAAAGAATGCTTATTATGCTGTTTTAGAATTAAGTATTTTATGTCAATTAGCTCTAGCTGATTGTTGGTATTACAGGCACTCTGCACTTAATAACCAAGTTAGGTCATTAAGCAAATTAGTCAGTAAGCAGGGCACTTAAAGGCAGATGTTTTGTGGTGTGTTGGGGCACCATAGGATGTATCTTTTTTAATAGGTATCATGCAACAGCACAGAATGTATTTTTATCAATATATAAAAACATACATTAGATAAGCTCCAGAAAGCAACAAGACACACGCCTCAATACATGAATCTAGCGTAATGGTCTTTATTTTGACTAGTACTGTGGGTTCAAAAGTATAGATTACATAAATGAAATATGTAGTCTTTGTGGATGTGAAACTGCATAGTAAATACTGATGCCAGGAATGAGACAAAGACTGAGAAGGGTACCTGGGGTCATAAATCCAAGAGGTTATTAAACAGGTAGGTCATTCAGTGATGAGCGGCTGTGTTCAGTTCTACATCTTTGCTAATTTTCTAATAATCCTATAGATCCCAGAAAAGAATGCAACTATAATAAAAGCTTTGTCCATTACTTCTTTCAGTGCTGTCAATTTTTGCTTTGTGTATTTTCTTTAAGGTTTTTGCTGTGGGACACATGCACTTGCCAGAGAGGGAAAGTGAGAAATCACCCTCAAGAGATGGCCATGCTACAATCTCTTCCTCTCCACAAAAACCACAGGCTTCACACTTGATAATAGCACTTCATGTGGCCAGACTGTGGATTTGATTGGAAATAATACCAATAATGTGACATGAACCCCATTAACCTATTTCAGGAGATAATATGCAGAGTAGCATACGGCCTCTTGAGTCAGAATTGTTCGGCTCTTAATCCCACCACCAAGAAACCAGGTGTGTGACTGGTGCAAATTTCTTCGTTTTTCTGCTTAAGGGATTATGTGAGATGATGCATATAAAGCATGTAACAATAGTACCTACCAGTAAAATCTGTCACTGACAGCCAGCACTTATTGATTGTACAGTATTTATTATAACTGGAAATGCATATAAGGTTCAGGTACTATTTAAAAATAATAATATGGTACAGAGGATTTATTAAATATATCTCATTGGAATTACATGAAAAAGAATGCTGCTTTTATAAATTTCTATCTGTAATTCTTTATAGTGTCCCCTTTGTGTCCTTACTAATTTAACTAAATATAAAGTTCAAAACCAGATATGAATTCTTGTAGTTCTAGTAATAATTACCATTTAATCCAAGCAGACTAACAGTATTTGGCCATTACCTGTTGTTAGCAACAAATGCACTGGAATGCTGTTTAATAGCTAAAAGGGTTTGAACAAAGCTTCAGATAGGCTGAAAAGGGTAAATTTGTATTACCAAGAACATCCATAGCAATAGTCATGGCAAAGGGGATTGATAAAGCATAAAAACAGTAAATTCACACCTTGTGTCTGGTTTTTGTTTTTAATAATTATTTAACTTCATTTTATTTATTTTAATTTGACCAGAGAGGGACAGAGAGAGAAAGAAGGCGAGAAAGCAAGCCGCTAGGTCCAGGACTTGAGCCACAGTCATTCATGTGCAAGTCCCATGCCCTTAACCACCACCCCACCTGCTGGCCCCCCTTGTGTCTGTTTTTAAAAACTATTAGAAATTATATCTGTCAATGAGGTCACACTATACAGAGATATATTCCACTACCCCACACCTTACATTAATGCTCAATTTAAATATATTAAGTAGAGACAGCTTTTTAATCACAGTTCTATTACCACACCACTAAAATAATTGAATCAGAAAAAAGAAAACAAACCTCCCAGTAAGAGATTGCATTTCAATAACTTTATTGAAAGGTATATCTCTTAGTACCAAAACATGATGGTTATCCCTACCAACTCAAAATTAACACTGATGTACTCAAAATACTGAAATATATCAACCTTTTGGGAAAACTGAAAAGTTATCCATAAAACAAGGTTTATAAAAGTTAAGATATATTATGGTTCTTTGGTTTATTTTTCAGTGCTTGTTTAACCAACAGCCAGTCAAAACTGGTTAGAGCCATTCTGGATGGCCTCAGGCTACACACTAGACTGAAGAACAGTGTACAGCACTGTAATGTCCTTAGTCACCAACTGACACCTGAACACAAGTCCAGTGACTTTCCAACTGTGAGGATGCCCACTTACTTTTCTTAAACCTTTGTTTCGACACAGGGACATTAGTGAAAGTACATTCTTTTTAACAGAATTCTAAATTAGAAAGAGAATTCTAAATTAGAAGGAATGGCAGCCCTTACTAAAAACTTCCAGTGTCAAATCTAGCCTCTACTTACTTCAGGATAAAACAAGTTTTCAGAGTGATCATTCACCTTGAAAACTAATATTTTTGGTGGGATTAAACCGAGGCAGTAGATTTAGCATTAAAAATTTGTATTATGGATACAAACATGACCTCTTTTCTACAAAAAAAATAGGTTAACTTAATGAATATGCCAAACTCATTAATGATCTGTATTTTTGCTTTATATAAAATGCCCTCAAATCTAAATAATTCCCAGGTAACAATAAAATCTATGTCTGGATTACCTATTATTTGTATTATGGGTGCCAAGAAACCATCTATACTGCCCATAACCCTTAATGTGCCTTCAAAGTGCATTTGCAAAATGGTTTTGATGTAAACCTCAATTTAAAAGTTAATATTTTAAATTAAGTAGGTTACCATTTTTGATACCATCTAAATACAACATATTGATCCAATATAGAAAGTTAGATCAATGTTAGAAATGAAGATTCACAGTTTTTCCCATGCTTGTCTTTAGTGTTTCACATTTACGGTTTTAGCTTTGATTTGGATGCTTCACAAATGAATCCAAACGTCCATAGAATACCACCACAGCATTATGAATCAGGCAGAAGTTTCCCCAAGTCTGGGAACATCATGCAAGTCCAATTGTGCCATTTGGAGGTTTCATAGCTTAACTCTGTTACAACACTGGAAACCATGCACCAAGGTCGAGAAGGAAAGCTTCAGAGAAGTTTTTTGTTACTGGATTAATCTACTTAAATAAACATCAAAAAAACCCCACCTTGCAAAAAATCTGCCTAAATACTACTGTTAAAAGTGAACTGCTCATATCTAACACTCATAACCATATGTAGATGTGTTAAATGTTAACATTTGGTACATTTGGTTTGAAGGAGAAAAAGATCAATCACTGAATTAAATTTATGTGGCAAGAATATATATATTTAGTGAACAGGT